TTTTTGACAAAAAGCTGAATCTCGTATTTTTGACAAAAATTTGAACCCTTTTTTTCGCCATAAAAATTCCGTTTTTTGGCTGCCATAACAAAAATATAAGTCAGAATGAGGAATGTCATACCTCGTTGAGCTCGTTGCTTAATTTCCAATATATTGGCATTCAAACCTGAAAATTTTTAACTTTTCACTTTTTTTGCAAAAATAGACGATGCACCCCCTTACAAAAAATGAGAAAATTGGTCAAAAAATAAATTTTCCTTAAATTGATTGGGATCGTTGGCAAATTTAGCAAGCTGTTCAAAACAGTCGGTCTTTTAGCTGTACGCCTTGTTTTGACCAAACTACGATTGAAAAACTGGAAAGAAAAATCGCATTTTTGACTAAAATCTAAATTTTTTGCAAAAAATGCGAAAATTGGTCAAAAAATAAATATTCTTTAAAGTGATTGGAATCGTTAGCATATTAATTAAGCTGTTCAAAACAGCCGGTCTTTTAGCTATACGCCTTGATTTGGCTGAACTACGATAGAAAAACTGAACAAAAATGTCGTATTTTAGACAAAAATCGGAGTCTTGTATTTTTGCCAAAATTGTAACCCTTTTTTCGCCATTAAAATTCAGTTTTTTGGCTGCCATAACAAAAATATAAGTCCGACTGAGAAATGTCATACCTCGTCGAGCTCGTCGTTTAATTTCCAACAAATTGGCATTCAAACCTAGAAAATTTTGATTTTTGCCATTTTTCGCAAAAATAAGTGATGTAACCCCTTACAAAAAAATGCGAAAATGGGTCAAAAAATAAATTTTCCTAAAAGTGATGGGGATCGTTAGAATATTTAGCAAGCTGTTCAGAACAGTCGGTCTTTTAGCTGTACGCCTTCATTTGGCTGAACTACGATGGAAAAACCGAAAAAAAATGTCGCATTTTTGACAAAAATCTGAATCTCGTATTTTTGACAAAAATTTAAACCCTTTTTTTCGCCATAAAAATTCCGTTTTTTGGCTGCCATAACAAAAATATAAGTCCAAATGAGGAATGTCATACCTCGTCGAGCTCGTCGTTTAATTTTCAATACATTGGAATTCAAAGCTAGAAAATTTTGATTTTTGCCATTTTTCGGAAAAATAATGCGAAAATGGGTCAAAAAATAAATTTCCCTTAAAGTGATGAGAATCGTTAGCATATTTAGCAAGCTGTTCAGAACAGTCGGTCTTTTAGCTGTACGCCTTGATTTGGCTGAACTACTATGGAAAAACCGAAAAAAATGTCGAATTTTTGACAAAAATCTGAATCTTGTATAAAATATAAGTCAGAATCAGGAATGTCATACCTCGTCGAGCTCGTTGTTTAATTTCCAATACATTGGCATTCAAAGCTAGAAAATTTTGATTTTTGCCATTTTTCGCAAAAATAAGTGATGTAACCCCTTACAAAAAATGCGAAAATAGGTCAAAAAATAAATTTTCCTAAAAGTGATGAGGATCGTTAGCAAATTTAGCAAGCTGTTCAGAACAGTCGGTCTTTTAGCTGTACGCCTTGATTTGACTAAACTACGATTGAAAAACCACTACAAAATTTGTATTTTTGACCAAAATCTGAATCCCAAATAAACCGATGTACCCCATTATAAAAAATGCGAAAATGGGTATAAAAATCAATTTCCCTGAAAATGATTGGGATCGTTAGCATAGGTAGCACGCTGCTCAAAACAGTCGGCTTTTTAGCTGTACGCCTGTATTTAACTAAATAAAGAGCATTTTTGGCTAAGATCTGAATCCTATTTTTCGGCCCTACAAAAGGTTAATAATTAGCAGAGCCGTGTTAATTGAATGTATAAAGCGAGAGTATTAGATTATGATTAGTTTATAAGTTAAGTTAGGAGCCCATTTTTTGTTTGCTTTACGATTGAATAAGTTATTACTGTAAAAAATTTAAGAACTAGAATTCCCGCCAACTCACTCGTGATCGCTGATCGTACGTCCATCGTCAAAACGTATGCCATCAACGATGGCGTTGTAGTCCTGATTCCTTTCCTCCACGTAGCCCATGTGGGCGGCCAGGTGGGAATTGACGAAGCAGATGTTTCCCTCGTTGAGCTGCAGGCTGATGGCCACGCCCCCCTTGTTGCCCAGCGTATTAAAGATGCCGCGGGCCACTGACTTGGGCCGGCAGCGGATTATGTGCTGGCGCAGCTGCTTGCGCACGATGACCGTCAGCATGGTGGCCACGAGGCGGTGCGACATCAGGATCTCGTACTCCACGTCCGGGTGGACGCTGTCCATCATCTTGTCGCTGGCAAGGCAAACACAATAGTGAATTACATATGTATATACGGGGTCATACGGCTCGTGGGCATCACTCACATCCAGTGCTTCTCGAGGGCCTGCACCTGCGTGGAGTTGAGCATAGCTTTTGTGGGCGTGTCAAGCTCCTGCAGTCCAATGGCATATATGTCCGGCGGCCGGTCACTGCAAGCCAACCAGGGTCGCAGTGGATTGCTGTTGTCGCTGCAGGTTTTGTTGTTCACATTCCAAGTGGCGCAGTAGATGCTGTAGATGCAAATCGAGTAATGGATTCTATAGTGCTTGACAAAGTGAGCAGGGGTTCTAACTCACATGATGTCCTTGTAGACAATGTACTCGCTCTCCCGCTTCTTCAGCTCCTGCTTCACCTCTCCGATTTGCCGGTAGTCGTTCAGCCACCTGAAGTTGAGCACCGTTTCGGGATCGTTCTGGGCCATGGTGCTCTTGCAGGAGATGACCTTGGCCACAAACTCCTCGTAGTGCTCGCCCTCTGTGGCGTAGTAGTAGAACTTGATGGGGCCATCTTCGGCTGTGCACAAGTCAAACTGCTGTGTGGTGATTGAGCTCTTGCTATCTGCAATGGAATGGCATAAATAAACATGATAGCTTCATTGTCTTTCTAACTTGCAAATTTCAGAACTATCAATTCACAATTGCTAACGTTTGATATTTGATATTTTCTCTTGGCAAATGCACACATATTCTGCTATTTGCCCATAATTAAGAACGAGCTATTGTTGATTAGGTGTCTACTTTACAAATAGCTTCTGTTCAATGCAATCTTGTGAGTTAAATATTTGTCAGCCATTTAAAATTGCAAGTAACAGGCGTTTACACGTAAAGCTCAAATATACAATAAGCCCTAAATTAAATTTGTTTAGCCAACAGAGTTATCAATGAATATTGAAATTGGATTTGGAATCTTGTTTGTAGCTTCTTGATCAGTAGCAGCTTCTCACCCTGTCGCAACTGGAAGTTGTGGTCGATGGCGAACACCTTGTTGATGATCAGCTCGTTTACGGAGGTCAGCGGAGTGCGCAGGTAGGAGAAGGAGATGATGGCGAAGGTTCCACCAGATTGTGAGGAAACTAGCGCCAAAAGCCGGTTGGTATACTCCGGACCCTTGATCTGATAAGCCTCGAATATCTGTAAAAGGACAGGATTTTTAGTATGATAAAGCAAATATGGGATAAATATTAAAAACATTAGGCTTTGCTTATTATCAAAGTGTACAAGAAATGATTTGACATTAAGTTTAAAGAGTTAGTCATATTCCAAATACTGGAAGAACGTGGGAAATCCAGAAAAAATTTTGTATACGTATAAACATGTACGTGCGGATATCCGAACACAGACGAATATAGTTTCCCACTAAAATTATAGTGTTTGCAAACCATTAACTATGATGTCACGACCTGGAAAATCTCCAAGCTTTATCAATTCAAAAAATCAAGTGTTATATGGAGAATTTTAAATACGATATAAGAAGCAGCGTGGCGTGTTTTAATCATTAAACTTAAATCAAAGAAGTATAAAAAGTCATACTACGCGCATTGAAAAAAGAAACTTAATTCATATCGATTGGAACAGACAGTAATGAAATTAATCATAGTTGTGCATACTTTTCTTAATAAAATTAGTCATTTTATATATATGTATATAGCGTGGCTTTTTATAGTCCATATTAGGAGTCCTTTAATGTAATTAATGATCGCTTTTTCTATGGAAACGTTATGAATATGATCTACATCGGTTCAACTTGTGATTGCTTACAAATTCTATGGTTTCGTCATCCTTGAATCGCTCCTTGACGATATCCTTTAGTGACCTGGTGACCGCAGTAGCGTCTCCATTGGGAACATTGTCCCCCGAGCCCACCGTGTCCATTTTCCCGGGGCTGGCCTACTGATATGGTTTTGAGTCCTCCTCCCCCGCTGCCGCCGTTTCCACTCCTATTCGCTCCCTTAATCTCGAATGAAAATTGTAATACTTGAGGGTTTCTTCTTCTGCGTCGAGTCGATAAATATATGTAGATATGGATATGGACAGTTGTTTGCTGTGCTGTGCTGCGTTGTTGCCTTTTCTATTTATAGTTGGCGCGAACGCCCAGCAAAGTGGTATTCGTATGGTATGGGGGGTATTATTGGGTGTTTTCTTGGGGTTCTTTGCTGGCTCTGACTCTTTGGTTTCTAATGGCAAGGGCGAGCCACTGGAGTGGTGACCCTGCTCTTGGGCTGCGTAACCGTGTCCCCGGAATGTGATTGCAGCTCCCGTGTTTGTTTTCTTGCTTGATTTATTGTTGTCTCTGCTGCTGCTGTTGTTGTTGTTGTTGTTTTGCTCCCTCAAGGTGGGTGTATCGCACACAAGCACACATCACTTATTCATCAAGTAATGCGATGACAATAATTGCCCAATCTTATTTTGCGAACTTCCAACTGCTGGTCTGCTGAGTTGGCGGGGCGGGGAACACAACACGGGAGCACAAAAATGGGGGCGCGCGTTCTAATTACTATTATAATATTTTTTTTATTATTTGTTTCGATTTATTTTCCGGGCGATTTGCTTGAAGACCAGTTTGCAAATGCTCATAAATACCCTCAGTGTGTGGTGGTGCATAACTTCACTAGCGAGGGTTGGTGGTTTATAACTTGACTAGGCCGAACAATCGATTTTTCAAACATCGATATTTGTTTTTTTTTTTTGATTGACTGCAAGTTATCGCAATCGCGTGGGGAAGGGAAACAGCTCCCCAAGATCCCAGAGAAAATCAGTGGAACCAAGAAATGGCCCAATTCGAGAAGGAGATCGTGCAGGCGGTTCTGATAGCCGACAACAATGTGTGGAACTTCAAGCCCCTCTCCGACGAGGGCTCCACGGTGGGTGTCCTCTCAAGAATCTGTAGATCTGCTTATTGAATTGCCACCCGATCATCCATTTCTCTATAGGCTCTGCTGCCGCTGGTCAACGTGAAGATGCTGGACTACGCACTCATCGCCCTCAATCGCAGCGGCGTGGAGGAGGTGTTCGTCTACGCCAGCCTGTACCTGCAGGACATCCGGGACCACATCAAGTGAGTCTGGCGACCATGATACCAAGATGATGCAATGGCAGAGCTCACTCTCTAATTTCGTTTCTTGCAGGGCCGGCATTGCCACGTACGCCTCCTGGTCCTTCAAGATGACCGTCCATGTGATCGGCGGCGAGGGCTGTCGCTGCTTCGGCGACGCCATGCGAGATCTGGACGCCAAGGCGCTGATCCGCGGCAACTTCATTCTCCTGGGCGCCGACACGGTGACGAATGCCGATCTGCGTCCGGTGCTGGAGCAGCACAAGCGGCAGGCCAAGTTCGACAAGGGCACCGCCGCCACGCTGGTGTTCAAGGAGTGCTCCAACAATGTGCGCCTCGGCAACGAGCTCCTGATAGCCGTGGACCGGCGCAACGACCGGCTGCACTACCACCAGCGGCTGCGGACGTACCAGAAGGAGTCGCGCTACCAAATACCCTTAGACGTCATCCTGGGCAACTCATGTGTGGCATTGCATCACAAGCTTCTCGATCCCCAGATTGCCATTGGCTCTCCATCCATGTTGTCCCTGTTCAGCGACAACTTTGATTTCCAGACGCGGGATGACTTCGTGAGGGGCCTGCTGATCAACGAGGAGCTGCTGGACAGCCGGATATATGTGGCTCTGCTGCCGGCCGCCCAGTACGCACACAAGGTAAACAGCTGGCCGGCCTACCAGCTGGTCAGCCGGGACATTATCAACCGGTGGGCCTACCCGCTCGTTCCGGAAATGGGCGTATACAAGCTGCAGCAGCAGTACGTCTTCCACAAGGACAACATCTACAAGAGCCACGAGGCGCAGGTCTCGAAGGTGGCGCTGCACCAGAACGTGGTCATCCAGGAGGGCAGTCATGTGGATAGCGGGTCGGTAATCAGCGACAGCGTGATCGGAGCCAACTGTCGGATTGGCAAGAACTGTCGGCTGACCAATGTGTTTCTAATGGCCGACGTCACCGTTAAGGACAACTGCCGGCTGGAGCACTGCGTGGTGGGTGCGGGAGCCATCATCAACGAGGAATGCGACGTGAGCGCGGGCTGTGTGCTGGGGGCGAAGAGCGTGCTGCCTGCCAAGACAACGTTGGCCAAGACCCTCATCACCAGCACGCCCAGCACACAGCGCAGTGAGGAGGACGTTGCGGTGGAACTGGAGTCGATTGGTCCGCACGCCTTCATTGTAAGCGATTTGACCACTGGTGATCCGGAGGACTCCGATGGCGAGGACTTCTTGCCACAGCAACCGCTCACCATACCCAAAATGGGGGACCTCCTGGCACCACTGGACGAGATCAGCGACTGCAGCGACCTTAGCGACGACGAGGATGCCTCGCGAGCGGTGACGCCTCTGCCTGATGACACAAATAGTGAGTGAGCGTCGGCAGCCAGTCTAATCATTACTAACCATTTGCAATTCTAAGTTTTCCTGGACGAGGTAATCGATTCGCTGACGCGGGGCTTTCGGGAAAAGTCCAATCCTGACTTCCTTATTCTCGAAATCAACTCCTCGCGCTACGCGTACAACATGTCCCTCAAGGAGGTGAACTTTAATGTGGTGAAGGCTGTATTTGGCATGCAGAGCATCGTGGAACCGGCGAACAACAACGTATTGGTGGCCATAAATGCAGCCTTCAAGCAACTGGGACCTGTGGTATCCAACTACATTAAAAGCGAGGATGCCATGCTGGATTGCCTCAAGGCGCTAGAGGTTGAGTCTCCATTTGTAACATCCCAAAATCCGTTTAACTTTCCTAATTCCCCGCAGGATGTGTACGAAGAGAATCCTCTGGTGCGGGAGAAGATATCGCAGATTGTCCACTACCTGTACGACAAGGACTTTGTGTCGGAGGATGCCATCCAGGCCTGGTTCGAACAGTTGGACGAGGAGGAGCATGCACATCTGCGGCAGAGCCTGGCGAAGCTCGTGGCCTGGTTGGATCAGTCCAGTGAGGAGGAAGACGACGACGACGACGAGGAGGAGGACGACTAAGCAAGGACCTGGCCGTAATTTACCTTTTTTTAAGCCCTTCCTCTTGTAATCTTGAAAGCCTGAGACCATGAAATGGTTCACCCAAGAAATGATTAAATAAAAATAAGAATCCGATACCTTTGCAATGCTGTTTAATGTCTACAAGCTTGTGTTACTGAATCGATAATCATCCAGGCACAATTATTTCCAATAAAAATTCCTTTTATTTTTACTCTTCTTTTTATTGAAGGCTTTCTTTGAATTTGTAAATACACTTTCTTACAAAGTCGGTGCTATACATAAAAAAAAAGTTCGAGGATCCCAATAATTTGTGGGCCACTTTGTTACATTTCTTATTGCAACGCGTTCTTCTTAACTTTCCACTTAAACTAACGTTCAGGTGCCCACAAAAAAGTTCCTCCAAAGAAATGGGAACTAAATAAAAATAATGTAAGTATTCGACAAGCGAATATATGGAGCTCGGTTCATCCTCTGCGGCTACTTATTGTAGATGAACTCCTCTTCCTCGTCTCCTTCCATTTTCAGCTCCTCCAAGCCGGCCATGTCGTCCTCCTCCTCCGTTTCGGCGGTCGATTGGAACTCCTCGTCGGACTCCTTTATCGACTCGATGGTGATTTGGGTGTCCTCGGTGGCGGCCGGAATGGGCGACTGGTCCCCCGGCTCCAGGTGTTGCTCCTCTGTGTCGTGCTCCTCGTCCGGGTGCTGTTGATTGTCCGACTCGTCGGAGTCCAGCTTCTCCTCCTCCCCAGTGTCCATAACCTGGTCCTTCTGTCCTTGGTCCTTATTGTCCGCTTTGTTTGGCTCCTTCTTTTCAGCCAGTTTCGGACGGCCTTTCGTTTTCGCCTTGGAGGTGTCTTCGGAGGTTTCCTCTGCCTGCTTGGGATCCTGCACCCGATCTTTGCTTGTCTCTTCTTCGCCATCGTTTTCCTCGGACTTGAGCGACTTCACATCATCGTTGCCATCGGCAATGCGACTCTGACTGCGCTCCTCCAGACTCCTGCTGATGTCCATGGCTATGTACTCCAACCGCACCTGGACGCTCTTCTGGAACACCTCGCTGTTGTCGCCGCTGAATAGATTGCTGCGCACCTCCTCGAGACAGCCCTCCAGCACTTTGTTGACCTCGCTCACGTCGAAGTCGCCGCCGAGATTCTGGGTCACGATCAGCAGCGTGGTGAGGTTCTTCAGCAGCCGTATCATCCGCGGATTCTTCACCATTCCCTTGTTGATGTCGTCCACAGTCTTAGAGGCCTTGGCGCGGCACTCTTCGCGCAGATATGTCGGCGAGATCATGGCCTGCACATTGGGATTGCGTGTCAGGCTGGTGGACATTTCCTGCACTTTGGTCAGCTCGTACATCAGATCAACGTTGATGCGCTCGATGGACACGATATTGTAGGCATACTGCCGCTGAAAGTTGTCAGCAATCTGGCGTCGATGGCGGTCTCCGTTCTCGTCCTGGCTGATCATCTCGCCCATGGCCAGCTCGGCAGTGGCATTCATTTTGTTCAGCCGCTGGATGCGATCGGCCTTCACGGCAATGTACTTCTCCAGGTGCACCAGATGCTCCAGCAGCGAGCTGGAGTAGGCGTGATGTCGGGCCAACTGCTGTCGTATGGGACTCTCGCTCACGGAATCCTGTCCCAACAGGGGATCGCTCTTGTTCAGCTTCATGCTCAGCGCATTTCGCGCAGCAGCATTGTTGCTAACGAGATGCTTCTGGGGCTTAGAATAGTTCGATCCCGTTCCTCCTCCGCCGCCAGCCGCCTTGTCCTTCTTCTGCAGATAGTGGTTGGCAAGATTGGCCGTGAAGCCCAGATTGGTGGTGAAGCCCAGGTTGTTCGTTTGATAGATGCTCATTAAATTCGGGCGGAAGTCCTTCGTGAAGCTGTGCAGCGGCAGCATCTCGTGGAAGTTCTCAGACACGATCTCGTAGTCTGGGATGGCGTGTGTGCCCAGACCGGGTCGCTCGAAGGTCACGCGGTACATGGCGTTCAGGGAATCGTAGGCGGCCACTGTGCCGGCAAAAATGCCATCCTGAGGGGTTCTCAGTCTGGCAGTGACCTTGGTGCCCAGCGGCAGTGGCATCGGTATCTTCTCGGGCATGTCCGACAGCAGCATGGAGTCCTTGAATTCGCCCGGTTTGCGCGACTGCAGGGTCCGCATCAGCTGGCGTTTTCTGTCCAACTCCTTGCGCTCCTCGCTGAAGAAGTTGGCCGAGCAGCGCCGTGGTCTTCCCATCCGCCGCCTGATATTGACCCACTCGTGGCGATTGAGGCTCCGGGTGCCCAGCCTGGGTGCCAGCTCGTTCACATGGTTCATGAACTCATCCCGGCAGTCGAACAGCGGCTTATCGATGTACGAGTAGAACCACTCGGCTATCGCCCACTTGTGCGCCTTGGGCAGCTTAAGGAGATTGCGGAGTCGCAGGCCGATGGACTGACCCAACCGCTTGTTGGCCAGTGCCGTGGCCTCCGCCTGGCTGGCCTCCTCCTCGGCAGCCGCTGCTGCCGCCGCCGCTGCGGCCGCACCCTTGCCAATTAAATGGGCACCCCTGCCCGTTTTCGATCCTGTGGCGCCCATCTTGCTGGCCGAAGGCTGCTTGCCCGCCGACTGACTCTTCGATGGCGTCTTCTTGTTCTTGCCCACCTGCTGGGGCTGGCTGCTGGCCGAGTTGGAGCTGGAACCCTGCTCGCTGGAGCGCATGTAGCGAGAGACTACACCCTTGCGCTTCTTCAGCACCTTGGATGGGGTGAGTGGGGTCTTCTGGGCAGAGCCTCCGCCGGCGGAGAGCGGTGGTCGGCCGGGCATTTTTTTGGGAGCCAAGCTCATGCGCAGCGGCTTGTCATCGTTGATGATGTTTTCGTCGTAGAAGAGGCGGTTCCTCTTGCGTATGCGGGCGGGCATCCCGCGGGCGTTAAGGGTCAGGATCGGGGCTTTCTGGACCTTGGGCTTGGGCGGCGGGGCGCTGCCCACGCGCTGGAGTCCCAGCGTGGCCAGGCTGAAGGCCGGTGGCTCTATCTGCTCCTCTGGGTCGCTGGTCTCGTTGCTGTCCGGCTCCTCGTCCTCGTCTTCTTCGTCAACGTGCTCCTCCTCCTCCTCGCCTTCGTCGAGATCAAGATCATCGCGATTGTTCTCATCGTCCTGGTCCATGGGCTGGACGTTACTGGGCTCATCCTCCTCCTCGCTGAGAGCGGACTGCCTCCGGGCTGCGGAGGCGGTTGCGGAAGCTGCTGCCTTCCTCCCCCGTCCTTTGTGGGCTGCTTCTGCGACGGGCATTCTCACTGGGCGGGCAAAAAGCTGAAATTCGAGGAGCATAAAGTTTGTTAGTTGAGAGTGATGAGGACTCTAAAGGATATAGTAAAAATTATAAAATAGTTACACTAGGCAGACTGTACTTAACTGTTTATGAAAACAGCGATCACACTGTCAGTTGTGAGAAAAGCGGCCACACTGTCAGATGTGCTTCAATCTCAGTACTGGTCACACTATATTACCACCATATTTAACCGCTACCAATGGAAAATTGAAATAACAAGGATTTGCTCATGTTTGGTTGACTTTATTTGTTGTATACTCCGTACATAATTGTTGTAGTTGCTTCGTTTCGTTTTGTTTGTGTAATACTTTGATTGAAGGATCTCGTATATAAGTATGCATGTATCTTCACATATATATGCTTGTAAATATATATATATTTAATTCGTAATTGAAATTAAGCACAAATTCAATTAACTCTCTCACATAGTACACGTGTGTTTGCTTGTGTTGTATTGAATACGTAAACGAACACATATTGCAAATTCAGTTGGGTATATATATGTAAGTATATATGTTTAGTTAGGATAAATAGTTCTTTTCCCGTACACCTGTGGGCATTTCTGGGTTTGACAGTATACTTCTCAGGCCCCCGAGTACCGTTATTCGCTCGATGCACATTAACGCCGCAAATAAATTATATGTGTGTGTGTGTTGTGTGTATTGTGGGTTGTATTTTATAAACAGATTTTCCTATACAATTTTCAATTTTCACAAAACAACAAAAACTTTTTACACACGCTTTAGCAGAAATATTACATCGAAAGAAGAAGATATATGGGAATTACAATAATTATAATGTTAATGTTAAAAAAAAAACTTTTCGCTCTTTCTAGTTATTAAATGTTCGTTTTTCTTCTTGTTTTGTTTGATTTGTTTTCGTTTCGTAACTTTGCTCAATACATTTGTTTAGGTTTATTTTAGATATATATATATAACAATACATTAGGCATAACAAATATCAATAATAATAATAGTAGCATACAATAGTAATAATAATAGTTGTGTAATAATAATAACAGCTTTTCATTCTTTGTTTTTTATCGTTTTTTTCTCATTTCCTTTGTTGTTTCTCGTGTGGTTGTTTGCTTGCATCTGGTTAATTGTTGTTTACTTTGTTAATATTTGGATTTAGTTTTTGTTTCGGTTTTTTCCGCATTGGAAACTAACAATAAACAGAAACACGTGTTTAAAGAGTAGGGGTAAAAGTTTAGCACTAAAAAATAAAATGGACGTAGCAAGAAGCGGGAATAAAGGGCATATTAAAATCGTGTAATACATTAAAATACATACAGATACAGATACAGATATATAGGGTAAGTATATAAATAAATAACAAAATGTGTTGTGAATTTTTGTTTGCATAAATTTTGCTTAGCTTTTTCGCTTGCCTAAATTGTGTTTTGTTTTTCGTTTTGACTAATGTTGCTTAGCTTTTCTTTGTTTCCTTTGCCTTAATTATTTTTAACGAAACGCCAGACGTTTCTGTGTTTTTTTGTTGTTTGTTTTATTTTTGAATAATTATTGTTTTGTCGTTTCTGCTCCTCCTGCTCCTGCTCCTGCTCCAACTCCGAATTATCCACATCCTCCTCCAACTCGCTGCTGCTTTTGAAGCCCGCGCTGATTGCCTAATAACATGCTATTTATCCCGTGGGACTGACTCTCTTTATCATCGCCTTCTTCTAGGCCAACCTACACATTGAACCGCGTTTCGGAGCCATCGGCCAGCATTAGGGTCACCGTGCGATTGTTGATCCACACCAGCTTGGCCAGACGCATGGGATTCAGGCGCGACACATCCGGAATGGGGGCTGTGGAGTAGCCCTTCGTGCAGCGCGTTTGCGACTGGCCCAATCCGAACATCCCCGTGGAGGTCTGCCAGAAGGACAGGCGATTCTCCGCGCAGGAATACGATACCAGGTACTTGCCGTCTGGCGAGAAGGCCAGCGAGGTGATCGGGTGCGTGTGGGCCGGGATCATCTGGCACTTGTTCTGGCGTAGCTCGTAGATGGCCAGGTTGCCACTGTTCGCGCCCACGGCGATGCGGCGCGTTTGGGCGCAGTGCGAGATCTGGTTGAACTTGCAGATGGCCGGACACAGCTCCGCCAAGCCGCGGCTCTTCAGCTCGTTGCTGTCCACACAGTGTAGGGCGATGTCCATCACCTCCACCAGCAGCCCGGCGATCTCCGACTGCATCTTGTCGATCAACATCTCCACACACTGCAGAATCTCTCCCTTGGCCTTGTGCAGCACCGACTGGGTGAGCGGCGTGTTGATGGACTGGGCGTTCTGCTGCATCGTATTGTATCTGGCCACCTCGCGGGCCATCGTGGTGATGAACGCCGCCGGCCGGGCGGTGGCTATCAGACGCAGGGCGTGCCTAGCCGTCCGGCAGGCATCCGCTTGCGGGGTCAGTGGGAGTTTGTAGTTTAGATTGGGCACTGCCTTGCCCTCGCACGATATCTCCAACAGACCGAGCAGCACCTTGGACACATCCAGGTACGGCTCCCAGACGGTGAATCCCCGTCCCAACAGATCAATGGCTGCCCGACGCAAAGGCGTGTATTGGGGTAATTTGGGAGATGGTGGGGCGTATAGCAGATGGGCCAAGGCCATCGAGGTGAGACGGGCCAGATTGTTGGCTATGCCGAAGCCCTCTACCACACTGGACTTTCTCCGCTCTCCACCGGCCACGCCAGTGGATAGATTGGCTCCCGTGGCCAGACTAATACTTCCCCGGTGATTTGGCGACTCCTGGGATATATCCTGGCCGAATTCAGCTCCTATGACACCTAAAAGTATAACTGCTGTGGTTTGCTTGCGTTTTAGCTCCGACAAGCTGGATGGTTTGCGTATAATCTCCTCCTCCTCCTCCTCATAGTCCTCATCTTGGTGGGCATCTCCTCCCGATACGTTGTTGCCTGCTCCGGCTCCGCTTCCAGTTCCGCCGCCTCCTGAGCCTCCGCCGCCCCCACCACCATTTCCACCCGATCCGGAGCCAGCTCCTCCACCCGCCGGCTGACTTATTAGAGCCAACTGCTGCTGGGCACCCACTATGGGCTCTGTGTGCGTATAGAGTGGAAGGTACTGTGCCCAGCTCTCGACCAGTTGCTTTCTGCCCTTCTTGCCCATCCGGGTTAGCTCGCCGAGGAGGATCTGCTGCGCAGCCTCCCTGATCTCTATGCAGTGATGCTGCCAGCGCTTGACCATCATCTCCACCTGAGGACGCTTGAATTTCTTAGGCTCCAGGGCCTCAATTTTATCCGGCAGGAGGAAGCAATGATGGGTGGCCAGCAGACTCCAGGCGTGCTTGATTTGGGAGATGTGGTGGGCCATAAGCTCCTCGCGCTCCTCCTCGTTGCTCAGTGTGGAGTCCGTACGCTGGGCCAGACGCTGCAGCTTCTTGTGCTTCTCGCTGTCCGGCAGGAAGGAGGCCGCGCTCATCGAGAGCAGCGTGTTGGACATGGCCACCAGGGCGAGAATATGATTAGTGGTCAGCGTGGTGCTCAGCTCCCAGTGCAGACGTGATGTAAAAACGGCGGTGAGATGCTCCAACCGCTGCAGCTCTTCTGGCAGCGGACGCTTCTTGGAACTGGAGGGAAGCTGGATGCCCGGCGGTATGGCATAGTTGTTCTGCCACGTGGGCAGCAGCAGAGACATGTAACCAGCCTTGGAAAGCACACCATACGAGATGGGGACAATTGGCCTCAGCAGGCCCAGGCGCGTCTCGCACATCTTGTCCAGATGCGGATCGAGACCCCAGGAATGAAGCAGCGAGAGCAGCAGCTGGGCAACCTCCATCACGTGCGTGACCTCCATCTTGGAGGCGATTTTGCTCTTGAGGTCCTGCTGCTCCTCGTGCGGCTCCACTGCTTTTTGAAGGCTCTCCACCTTAGCCTGCACCTTCTTCTCCACAATTTCGGTCTTCTCCTTAAACTTTTGCACCAGTCCATGTTTGTCCTTGTCCTTTAAGATCTTCTCCACATCCACCGCCTTGTTCTTGACCTTACTGAAGAAGTCACCGATCTTCTTGCTGGCATCCAGATGCATGGATTTGCCATCCTTGGGATTCTGCAGGTGGACACCCAGTGATTCCAAAGTGGCAGGTGTCATCTGTGCGTACTCCTCGCTGTGCAGCTCGAAAATCAGTCCCTCAATGTCAAAGAAGAGGATGTGGCTCTCTGCATCTTTGGGATTAGTGCGAAGCCCCTGGATCACTAGCGGATTGCTGCGGTGTTTCATCAAGAAATCGAAGTTTCCTTGGTTATGACCCTGAAGCTGCTGGAGTTGATTAATCCCTCGCTGGGTAGCATGACGGATGGCGTTCATGTTGCGCGATTTTAAGCCTCGGAAGAAGTGCACCGCCGGATTGGCCATGCCCATTTCGCTGGCGGATGCACCATTGGTTCCACCACCGCCGCCGCCTGAACCGCCATCCTCTGCCTGCTCGTCGCAAGCCGATAGCACTTCCTCCGCCAGCATTCCATGGAGCACTCGATCGAGGTGCCCTGTTTCCATCTGCCACACGTACACACTGCCATCGGAGCAGCCCACGATGAGGAAGTCGTCCAGCGGACGCCACTTTATGGTGACCACGGGGAACAGATGCCTGCTGGCCAAGGTGACACACTTGCGCTCCTGCAGGGAAACCAGGGTAACCGAATGATCCGAGGCCACCGAACATATGCACTTCAGGATCCGTGGACTACAGCTCTCCGGCGGCACCAACAGCTGTGTGATCTCTCCGGCATGGACGCAAAACCTATGCAGCAAGCTGCCGCTGTACAGATCCCACAGGCATACGGCGAAATCGATTCCACCAGAGAGCAGATGGGATTTCTCATACCTCGAGTGAATCATCGAGGGACAGAGCAGGCAGTTGACCCTGCCACGATGACCGTACAGGATCTGATGCGAGGGCCAGTCGCTAAAGTTCTGCTTGATGCCCACTAAAAGCTGCATCATCACCGTCTGAGTGGCTGGTACAATGACTATGCTGCCATCCTCGCGTCCGATCACCAGGCGACTCTGCTGCGGCAGATAGATACTCGAGGTGAGCTTCACCGGCGACTCCGTGATGCGGGACAGCTGATCGAGGATGCCCACGGGTGGTGGATCCATTATGGACCACGCCTCCACTAGGGAAGTGCACACATGCGGCTTGAGGACGCGTGGCGGCATTTGCTTGGCCTGCAGTATGCTAATATTGTCCAGCGGCACCTCTGGCACATTCCACACGGAGATGTATCCCTCGGAGTCGCCGCGCAATAGATTGTGCTGACCACCGGTGCCCTGGAGCAGCTTCATGGCTGGTGGGCACGACAACACCTTGTCGCCCGCATGCTGCAATACATAGTACAGATACGGGGCATCTCTGACCACGCTCTTCGAGTGAAACTCCTTGTTGTCCGGTATGCAGTTGGCGGGCAGCTTATAAAGGTAGCCCTTGCCCTCGTCCGTCCAGAGCATAACCCGGTCCGAGGTGATGAAATCCCCGCCCTGCCAACGCTCTCTCGCCGGTGCAATCACAGAACAAAGCACAGTGAAATCGCCGGCATCGTAAATCTGCCAGTATTTGGTACAAACGAGTAGAACGGTGCGCTGGTTCTGGGCACAGCAATTCATGGTGATGGCATTTAGGCAGCGGATCTCCTTGGACTCGTTCTCGTAGATGGGCTCCGCATGCTTGTTCTCGTTGCCTGTCAGGGTCCACACCTTTACCGTTCCCGTGGTGGTGATGGCCAGCACTACGTCATCCTTGCGGCGCATGGGACGCAGTACGTGAATGGCGGAAATCCAATCCGGTTTGACCTTTGAGCTGAGCACGTAGATCACCTCCAGGCTAAAGGGATCCATGACCATGATCTCGGCGTAGTAGCCAATGCAGAAGAGGCGCACATCCTCGCTGTTGGCCGTGTGATAGCTCTGAATTTGGGTGTGCACTTGGGGCAGCTTGACCGCCTCCATGCACTTGCCGTCCGTGAGATCCCAGGTGCACATCTCGCCGTTCTCGGACGAGCTGACCAGGAAGTTGTTCTCCGGCAGGAGCGAGGCACGCACCAGGCACAAGACCGGAGCCGAATGGCCAACCAGCAGGCAGCGCGGCGACATCTTCAGGGTGGTGGGCTCCACCTGCCATAGGCAAATCTGTCCATCGTAGCATCCGGTAACCAGGGTGAACTGGTCGTCGGAGAGGAACACGCTTGAGATGCAGTGCGTGGGCGCTGTGGGTCCCCACAACACCACCGGCACCACCAGATTGGTACTCACCATGGTGGCGCGCTTTACCCAATCTCTGCGGTGGATCCTTCTCCTTCTCCTCCTCCTTCTGCCTCTTCTCCTCCTCCGCCGCCTTCCTCCTGCTCCTCGCTCGCTTCGCTGGTGATGGTGATTCGACTGCTACTGCGGGCTCTGCAAGAATGGTTATTGAGTAAACATTTGCTCACGTCCAACGGGTGGATGTGGATGGTGGGCCCTGTGTGCGTGAGAACTCGAGATTGGGATCGGGTTTGAGTCCGTGTGTGGTACAGTGTACAGCGTGGTACAGTGAAAGCTGCTAATCAGTGACTCACCCAAGGTTTTTCGGGTCTTTCGATTATTTTATTTCAATTAATTGGGATTCGGAGCAGGTAGTAGTGCTTTACAAAGCCAACAATGCCTGAAACTACCTAATAAGTGTTTACATTGGTAGGTAGAGTATTACCTAATTTGTTATGAAAAACCTTTGTTTACTTAGTTCTCTGGAAACTAGGAAGATCGAATTTATTGGAAAGGTAAAGTAATCTATAAACAAAGGTTTACTATAAACCTTATTGGCCATTTTTTCTAGGGAAAAAGTATTGTAAGCTGTAATTTCCTTGTTGAAAACAGATACATCTGTTTATGCTTATATGGGCTGGAAACACCAAATATGAATATTGATAATAAAAGGATATATGATCTTTTTAGGTGTTCTTAGCTTCGAACTTGTAGGTAGCTAGTCTTCTCAAATGTCTGTCTGTCTGCTGTATTGCCAGATATCTATACCTATTGATATACACACATATCTATCTTTTAAGAATCAAACTTTATCGTTTTGTGATTTCTTGTCAGGTTTTCCCCACTCTAAATTTTATGTGAATATGTCAGTGGGAGTGAACCGTAAAGCTCTCGAGATAAGGCCGTCTAACAGGTGACAACCCGTAGCTTATCTGCGCGTCCACCTTGGGCAGCCTCCACTGTACACTGTACACCTAACTACACTTGGAAATTGGAATGTCCAAAGATAAACAAGGGTTATACAATATGTGTGCGGTGTGCGGCAGTGGCAAAATCGGAGATGCGTTCCAGGCACGGATATAATATGGAATGTTTGACATGGGAGAAGGGGGCATATGAATGGGGGAAGGAGGCTCTGGCTCTTGCCAATTGAAAGATCAATTAATTGGGCGACAATTTGGCATCGCAATTTGAGCGGATTTTGCCTGTGCTATCGCACGCACACACACACACTTATGAGCACAGGGCACGCACACAGGGACAAACCATAATAATTGTAGATAACTTGGCATTTAGCTAACATTTTTCAGCAGTTTTCCGTATTGGGGTTGGCTGGCGCGCGTGATTCCTCCTCCGATGTATAGATTCCGATTTCGATTCTCTCGATATGGAAAACTTAATGGTCCGCTGCTGCTGAAGAAGGCGATGAGCGATGATGACGGTGGCTATTGATCCTGGTCGAGGGACATCGCGGTGGCGGAGCTGGTAGCGGATTGCCAATGTCGATTCGATTTGATTCTAATTTATGGACACGGGACGGGCGAAACGCACACCACCCCCCGAGAACACCAACACACGAGCACTTTTCCGCTGTACTGATACGCTTACAACACACACACACACACACACACGTTGCGTTGTTGCTGTTGCTTTTGCTATTTTGTTATTGCTTTTGCTGGCCACTTTTTCGTACTGGGCATATTTGTGGCACACACTTTCCGACAATCGCACACTAATCGCACACTCCACGGGAAACAAGACCAGACACTCCACTGGATGCACTCTGCTCTATGTAATTTCGTTTTATTTGCTTTTTTCCTACTCGTTCTTGTTCTGTTTTTTTTTTTTTGTACACGACTGTGGAAAAAAGCAACGAAAGTGTTTTATCGACCGTGGGGTAAAAATTTTCGATAGGTTTTGCGTGTGTGCGCACAGGGTTGCCACGGTCGTCGCAGCAGCGGGCGCTCTGCTATCGATGCCATGCGAACGGCGACAGCCCTGTCCCAAAAATTTAATATTTTCCTCCAATTGTTTGTAATTTCGCAAATAACTCGAGGGAGACACGAAATTGGGTGGCGAAATGGTATACGCTTAGGTCTAGGGGTTATGGGGATGCTTTTGAGAGGGTTCCTGGCTGGTCAGGGGTCTTACCCACATGGTTCTGTCCCACAAAGTTGTTACTTTTCGCCCAACGGACAATTAACCCATACGCAATTGCATTCGAAGGAATGAGTTGCAAGGCGGTGCAAAAGGCAACCTGGCCACGATGCACTGCCTCCGGGAGCGGGAGGATAATGAATCCCGCGTCCGGGTTTGTTTTCTCCGGGGATCGCGAACTGAAACCAAATCCCATCGCTGCCTATGGGCAGGAAGGTGATTCGTTGTATCGCAGGGGCAACAAAGACTGGCAAACTCTGGGCCAGCTCATTCGGAGGTTCTCCGACCTAAAAAACATGTACGGAAGACAGGTACTCACCGCTAAGTGCAGTTGCTTCTACTGTGGGCAGCCGTTTTACTGGTTATTTTGAATTTAAAACACTTTTTGCCCGTACGAACACACACTTTTGAATGGCCACAAAAAAAACACAGATCGGTGCTGCCAACTCGCTGCGGAAAGAAGAAGAAAGGGCGCGCGTGCCGCGCAAAGCAACCACGAACAATCGGTATTGTTTTTAGCACGTAAATTTGTGTTGCAGCATGTAAAGGTGTTCTCTTAATTTTGCAAATATGTTTTAATTACTTCGTATTTTATTAGTGGCTGTTTTTAACTTTAGTAGGTTTTTGGCGGTCGCTAACCACCATCCGATTGCGATTTGACCACCCTACCGATAGTTCTTGGGCCAGCAACAGCTGATTGCACTTTACATTGCGGCATAACCGATTGCATATCGTTTTTGCCTTTAGTACAGCCATACAATATTCTAAGAAAATGTGTAATAAATTATTATACTTATTTCTGTTGCTATAAATAAGGTATTTTGAAATTCAGATGGTATGTAAAAAGTAAACTAAACATTCTTTATACTTTCAGCTAAAAATGAAAGTGGCAAAGAACTAGGGATAACCAAAAGCTAACCAAGTAAAGGGTATTACGGCGCCGATGCAACCCTCTCAATTCCGCGTTGTTGTGATTTTGCGACAACGTAGCCGCATTCGACATCCACATATCCACATCCACGCTGGCTATGGGGCACTGACCATGCCCATAATTGAATTAGCGGCCCTGATTGATTGACTCCCACGATGCAGCAGCAGATGATCCCAATCCTGACCTGCGCGGTGCTCCTCCTGCTGGCCACCGGCGCCAGCTGCCAAAAGCAGTACTCCAAGGCAAGGAAGCTGGAGCTGAGGTGGGTCAATAGCGTCCGCTTGGCTACAGGCATACTAATTTTGATTCTATTACAGGGAGGACGTGCGACGCATGTTCCAGCACGCCTACGAGGGATACTTGCGTCACGCTTCCAACTACGACGAGCTACGCCCGCTGACCTGCGACGGCCACGACACCTGGGGCAGCTACTCCCTGACCCTGATTGACGCCCTGGACACGCTGGCCACCATGGGCAACTTCACGGAATTCCGGCGCGTTACCCGGCTGCTCGAGGAGAAGATGAACTTCGACCGGGACATCAATGTTTCCGTGTTCGAGACTAACATCCGCATCGTTGGCGGCCTGCTGTCCGCGCATCTGCTCTCCAAACGAGCTGGCCTCGAGCTGGAGCAGGGCTGGCCCTGCAAGGGTCCTCTGCTCCGGCTGGCGGAGGATGTGGCCCGGCGATTGCTGCCAGCATTCGACACGAATACCGGCATGCCCTATGGCACGGTTAACCTACGCTACGGCGTGCCGAAGGGCGAGACATCCGTGACCTGCACGGCGGGCGTGGGCACCTTCCTCATCGAATTCGGCACTCTGAGCCGGTTGACCGGGAACAGCATTTACGAGGAGGTGGCTATGCAAGCGGTGTATGCTCTGTGGGGCTTTCGCTCGCCCATTGGACTCTTTGGCAACCACATCGACGTGCAGAGCGGCCGCTGGACAGCACTGGACTCGGGGATCGGGGCAGGAGTGGATTCCCTTTTCGAGTATCTGGTAAAGGCATCTGTTCTGCTAAATCGCCCGGAGCTATTGGATCTATTTCACGAGGCCCGCGCGGCCATCGATAAGTACATGCGCAAAGAGGACTGGTACGTGTGGGTGGGCATGAACAAGGGCCACGTCACCCTGCCCGTTTTTCAGTCCCTGGAGGCCTTTTGGCCTGGCATCCTCAGTATAATTGGAGACACGGAGCCGGCATTGCGCACCATCTCAAGGTACATTGGAGTCTGGAAGAAGTACGGCTTCCTGCCGGAGTTTTATAACATCGCTGCAGGGGAGGCATCGCCGAATCGGGAGGTGTATCCCCTGCGGCCGGAGCTGATCGAGTCGGCCATGTATCTCTACCGGGCCACGGGAAATGAGTACTTGCTGGAGCTCGGCGAGCATATGCTCGAGACCTTGGAGTTCAGCGCCAAGACCAAGTGCGGATATGCTACGGTAAGAAGTTTTCTGAAAAAATCTTTTAGAGGTATTCGAACCGCAATTTTCCTGACGCCTACTCTTCACAGATCCGGAATGTTGTCACCCATGAAAAGGAGAATCGCATGGAGTCGTTCTTCCTGGCGGAGACGAGCAAGTACCTGTATCTCCTGTTCGACGAGGACAACTTTCTGCACAACGATGGCTCCGGAGGCGAGCTACTGTCATCCGAGGATGATGTGTGCGTGGTGCAGGCGGGTGCCTACATTTTTAACACAGAGGCCCATCCCATGGACATGTCAGCCCTCCACTGCTGTCATGCCCACAAGGAGGACATATACGCCTCCCTGGAGCTGCAGCGTTTCAGTCCGCGGGCGATATTCGAGAGGAGCAGGGAACGGCAGGTGGCGGTGCAGGATCAGTGGGTGCCGCAGTGTCATCCGGAGAACTACGAGTACTATTACAAGGAGCAGGACAATGTGCAGGCAAAGGAAAGTGGAAGGGAACAGGGACGCGAGCAAGCCGGAGCTACCACTACCATGGCTGTGGACATTGAGGTTTTCGACGAGTTTCAACAGCCCGCCGGCGATCTGCTGGTGAGCAACTTTGAGCGGATACGTGAAGAGCGGGAGCTCAACGAGAGCCTGCAGAGAAGCGAGGTCCCGCGAAACCAGTTGACTGTCAGCGATCTGGATGAGTTTTTTGCCCAACGAAGGGAGAATTTCGGTAGCGCCTCCGAAGCTCTAAAATATGTACTGGCCTTCATGGGCAACTACACAATGGATGTGGCATTTATCCGAGGCCTGCAGTTGTACAATGCTAACATCAGTAGTGTCTTAGGCACGGGTGCTCAAAAGGAGTACGAGTCACGAATGAGGTCTCTTTGGCAGCTGTACGAACTGGAGCAGCAATTTGCGGCCAATGTTCGACTGATCCAGGGCTTGGGCTTGCTCACCCTCCAGGTCGACGGTGAGCGGATGCGCAGTTACTTGGCGGAGGTGTTGGATAGTCTGGATATGCCGGCTACCTTGGAGGAGCAGGATCCGGAAGATTTTCAGCCGAAATCTTCAGCCAATGCCTCTTTGCCCCAGTTAAGTAATATAAGAGAAATTATTGTAAAGGCGAGAAATGCCTATGCCATAGCCTTGGTTAATACCACGGCCATGCAGGAGTTTGCCATCCGCATTTACCTCAGTGGCACATCGGAGGGCGGTGTACGTATTCACCCACTGCTAGAGCCTGCAGAACTGAGTCGGGATGAACTGATGAGGCCGCATAAGTTAGCGGAGGAGCGTACCCTCTTCAGCTACGCCCGTCGAATAGTGGACTTTCGAAAGCGCATGGCAGAGACAGTGGGCCGGCTGCAGACGCTCATGCAGGACATTCCGCCATCTAAGAGTAATGAGGCCTCAGACGATAAACAGGCCCCCAAAGCGGATGCAGCCACAGTCTACGCTCAAACCGAAGCCAAAGTGGCGGAGGCCAAGGCCCAGCAGCACGATCAGAAGTTGGAAACGAGGCATGCAACCCAAATGCAAAAGGAGAAGCCAACAGAAGAGGGCTCCGGATCGGGATCGGGGCAAGAGGAGTCTGGCTCCGTGTGGTCGCAGTTTGTGCAGACCATTCTGCGAAAGACAACCGTGCAGCGGGTCAAGTTCGACGAGGCCGTGCTGTTGGAGAAGACGCGGAAGGCCCTGGAGAAGCACGCCCACAAGGAGCAGCCCCACCACCTGTTCGCCTGCCACCGTCCGGAGTACATTGAGGGTTTCGCCTATCGGGACTTCTATCCGGAAGCGCTGTAGTTTCGCAACCACCTCGACAACTTAACACGACTGATCTGTAGATATGTATTTAGGTAGTTAAGGGGTATTCGCTCTGTGGTGTATGGACAACCATATGATAACTCTCATTGAACTTTGGTTTCCATTGAGGAAACTTTTTCAATGAATCGCGTTTGGCAAAATAGTTTTGGATCCTGCAAATATACCTCAACCTCGCTAGAGAACCATCATCTCATAGAGTTTCCTAGAAAGTTACCGATCTTTATAGTTTTAGAACTGGGTCAAAAATTTGTTTTTTTTTATGTTTCAAAACTGAACATGCTTTTTTATTGCAGTTTTATGTAAAAACCATGTAAAAACCATAGATTATGCAACTTTTCCTTAAAATTAAGAACTGGTAACGTTCATACTTTTTTTCTCCATGATATTTGACCTTGTCAATTAGATATTAAGGTACAATCAGTTGCAGTGTGGAAATATGATTTTGAAAATTCTAATTTAATAGCTTACAAATCTGTAACTCTAAATGACTTACAGTTTTGGTTCATTAAAGACGATAACTTAAACACTAATTTAAAGACCATGTGCGAATTCCCCTTTAGCATGCCGAACGTCAAGTGGCTCCACTTGTGCCGGCAATTAATTTATTAATCTATAAATCCCACTAATTTTTTTCGTGGTTAACTCAAGACATTACCAAGGCTCTATACATATTTATATCTGTAATAATCGTATTTAGGATTCGTGAGTTTGAGTGTGCGTGTAAAATATTTTCAATGACTGTTGTTGGCTGTATTGTAATTAAATTGATTTGCTTCCGTATTTATGCATTCAATTAGATTCGATTAGGCTGAAATAGGCAAGCAGGTTGCACAACCCAAAAGGCATATAAAGGATATAAAGAATTACGGCAGCCAAGTGCCGGATGTGGTGGCCACCTCGTTCTCTGCCTTCCGCCTTCGCCCTCAGTGGATTGCGGCTGCGATTGTTTGGACACGCAATGGCAATCGCTCGAATGGGTTTATTTTCGGAAATTGCTGTTTACTTCAAGGATTTGGGTTTTGGGCTTGTACGAAATTACGCCAACGACATGAAATGGATCCGATATTTGGGTGGATAAGAGCAGTGATGCGAAAGGAATGGTAAACCTTTTCAAATTTAAAACCAAGAACTTATATTAAACTTAAAACTGAAAAAAACTGTGAAGTTTAACGTTAAAAGTTGTAGAATCGATATAAAATTTGGTATGAATACATTAAAAAACTATTTTCAGGACAGAAAATGTCTATCCTTTACACCTTGGACATCACAAGGTTCCCATCTCTTTTGGTATCCAAGCTATTTCTCATCACTGACCAACTTCATTTTGCTTTCTCCTGACCCAATCGCACACATTGTGGACACACCGAAGCAACTGCTGGGGAAACTCGCCCGACAGGCGCCTCTGACGTTGGCGAAACTGTGATTGTGGGTCACACCACCACCGACACCCCGGCAGACCCACTCCTGCTCCTTGGGAGTCGTGTCGTGGGGTGCGTCGTGGGGATGCGTGTGCAGTATTGGTAACATTGCCTGCCATCCGGCAACAATGGGAAAACTTTAATGAGTACAAGTTGCTGCCAAAACGGAAAGACAGCCAGGCAGAGCAGGCGGCAGGCGGTAGGCAAGCGGATTGTCGGACGGACAGGTGTCCTTGCTGTAGCGTAGTCCGCAGCCAAGTCAAACGAACCGAGCACGCCACGGGTTGCGGACGAATTCCTTGGAGATTCTTATAGAGAGACAGCTCCTTCGGGGAGGAGCTCCTGGAACAGGAGTAAAAGTGAAAGTGCAAGTAGGGTCGGAGGACGGAGCACCATGAAACCAGCACTCGAGACCACCGACGAGGGCGAAGAGGACGGCGAAGGGCAAGATCATCACGAGGGGGATCCGCGGCCGCTGCCCTACGACTTCGAAAAGGAGCTGATCCAAAAATCCAATCGATACATTCGACTTTACGAATCCTTTGTTCCAGTGAGCCAAGGTATGGGTATAAAATTTCCATAATGCGGTGCAACTAGTGTTTCTCTAAAAAGTAAAAAATATATCTTAATTATTTTGAACCTTTGATCCTCTTTTTTCAATTCGTTCGTCTATAGTAAACGTAAAATAAAATCTTAACATAACTTTAGTTAGTAAGCTTTTGTGGGCTATATGATTGTGATGATGATCCCGTCCTGATTTCCAGTCCATCCACTGACCCGAAAGTTCTACGCCCAGTACGAGCAACGTCAGCCTCCAGATCCGTTGGCATACCTCCGCCACACTTGGCCGGAGAAGCAGCTGGAGCGCCAGAAGCAACTGGCGAAGGCTGTTCCGCTCCTGGAGTCCCAGGTTTACGGGTGGCTGCCGCTCCAAAGTGGCGAGTGCGCTGCAAATCTCAACTTTTTACATGCCCCAAAACTGCGCTGTGGCATGACTGTTCACGGGGAGCGATTGATTGCGGAAAGGATTACGGCGCGACCTCCTTTCAACGGACTTAGATTCCTGCTCCACTAATCTACCGTCTCTCACACCGATGGGATCATTATTCAGTTAATTTTAAACATGTGTATTGTCTTTTTGTTATAGAATGCAGAAGAATAATGTTAAAAGTTTCAAGGTACTTAGAACCCATAATTTAATTGTTATTTTAAAAAATTCCGATTCGAGGGTTAATTTGAATTTCTTGGAAAGGTGGCAACGCTGCCTCGATGCGTTTTTTTCAGGGTTGAGTTGTCGATACTTTTTTTGTTTACTTATTAAAAATTAATTGGCGAATTAACTTGGAAAACAAACTTGTTTTATCACCTGTAATGAACACGACGACCGCCTGAGATTTTCGCAGCAGCCGCTCAACATGGTGAGTGTAGGTGGTGATTGGCAGCTCCGGAGGAGTTCATAGAATACACAATATATGGCCGGAATCGCGAGTCAAAGGTCGCGTTCGATGGCCTCAGCCGGCACTTAATCACTTTCGATTTCTACGCCATGTACTAAATATTATTGATCTGATCCGATCGCTTTGCAGGCTCACTCGAAGAAGGCGCGTAAAGCTGCCAGAGACGCGAATGCCCAGAAGTCTGCAGAACCAAACACAGAGGAAAACCCGGTGCCCAAAAAGGACCAAAACCCAGACGATCATAGTATAGGATCCCCCACAGCGGACCAGTTTTTGGAAAGTTTGCTCCAGACCCTCTACAAGTCATGTATGTACATATGTCCGTCAATTAAAAGGTAATTTCCCAAACTGACTTAAAAATTAAGTTATGGAGTAGCCGAAATTAGATCTTTACGGTTGTTAACCTTTTGTTTTACATTTTATTTGCGTAATTTGACGAATCCATAACTCAGTTTTTAAGGCAGTAAGTCATTGACTTGAATTTGCTGAATGTATATTTAAGATTTTTTATAGGGATTGTTATTAAAGCTAATCATACTCATGTCGCGCAGGGCTTCAGGTGCGTCGCCTGGCCGAATTTGTGATGTCCGAGCTGGGCGGAAATGATTTCCTGGAGGCCATTGCGGCCTGGTGCGCCCGGAATCCACATATTGCCATCTGCCTGCTTGCTGGCGGTCTTGTCTTCATACTCCCCTTCCTTATAATCTTTGGTTTCGGAATAGCCACCATGGTGATGACATTCACTGGTCTGCTGGTACTAGAAGGTGGGTTCCGAAATATAATTGCTTAGAGTCTCACTTCAAAGTTCTCCCCTTGCAGGCACACTTCTCACTATCGTGTCCATGGTGTTCTTCGTCTGCCTGGGCGGATTCGTCATCGTTGTTCCTCTGTTCGGGGTCGCCGCTGTGGCTGCCTATTTTGGCTTCGCCCAGGTGTATGGGCTGTACGACGGCATGGAGCGCCAGAAGAGCGCTTTGGTCAAGTTCGTTAGGGATCAGCGCAAGATAAACGATCCACCGCCAGCTCCTGTGACCATTTCCGAGGAACCCACTTCGACTTCATAAGCCCTTATTGCTTGCCCAACAAACAGTTATTAAATAAATAAAGACCAGTGCTTGAATGTTTCCTAAATTTAAATTCATTATAATTCGAAAATCGCGCCTAGATTGTTTTCTTTTTTTTAAAACAAGTTGGCAGCTTCGTGCGGGGGAGAAGTAATCGGCTATCAACTCATCGCCCATGTACACAGTTTTCATTCGGAGATCTTTCGAATTTTAAGATTTAAGTGCGTCTCAACAACAGAAACCTGCCTTTGAGCAGACAAAATTACTTTCGACGTGGTAAGTAGTGTGAAGTAATAGACGTTTTAGCAATTTGGGTCAGTAAAGCGGTAGTTTTCACATAAATCCGAGTTGCCAAACACCCACACGCACACGCAGGTGCTTGTGTGGGTAAATGTTTATACAAGATAAACGGCTGAGAAAGATTACAAAGCTGGGACCGGAATTAATAAAGCTGTTCCTCAATAGATTTAGGGAAAATTAACTAAATATAAATTAACGATATCGGTTTGCTTAAAATCTGAAATTTCGCTAGAATTCCTGGAACTTAAAATGTTTGAGACATTCCACTGACCTATCGACTGGCGCCTATCGGGTTATCGGAGCAGCAGAGGGCCATCTCTAGTTGGGTCTCTGCTTTGTCGCATATACACAGTTTTTTTCGAGCAGAGGCAGTTCTCCGTTAACTTGTGTTTCAGTGCGTTTTAAATAAATAAATCCTGCTTTAAAGCAGACTTAAATCCCTTGGACGCGGTGAGTAATGCAGGTGGAGAACTAAATCGTTTCGAAAGCCAGGATTTATGTAGCATGAAAAGCTGAAAAGCAAGGGCAAACAATAGGCGCGGGGGCGGTGGGAAGGGGCAGTGTCTCTGTGTGTGTGTGAGCGTTGGAGCTGGATACACACAAACGGCATTTTTATGTATTCTCCCTGTAAACCGTGCGCTTGTTTTGCTGCGCTGCTCGCTGGAATGTAAACAATGCCGCAGACAGGAAATCGTGTTTGTCCGAATTAAAGGCTCATTATCGCAGGGTATTTTATCTAATCTATCACTCCGTAATTGGAATTGGAATTAGAACCAGAATCCTGTGCCGTACGTGCATGTGTGTGTGTGTATTCACAATCTGGCTGATATGTGGCAACTCTGCGCAGCATTGCATTTGTGTGCTGCACTGCGGCCCCGGCCCTTTACTTTCTCTCCCTCGCACTCTTTCTCACTCCCCCTCTCAACTCCCCTCTCCCTTGCACTCGCCGTGTTGCAAGTGCTTCGCCTTTCGCTCTCCGCTTTCCGATTCTGTTCCGTTTTAACGAGCGTGCTGGTCGGTCGCATTTTCCGCTGCGCCTTTTTCCAGAAGCTGCAAGTGAAGAATAAATTATTTTCTGTTTTGTTTTTTCTTAGTGCATGATTTGAAAAAGTGCCAAACATAGTAATTAAATAACTCAAGGTTCGTGGCCGAAGTCTTCGGCAGGTAGACAATACACACACACACGGGCACGGAAATTTCTACCTGTGTGTTTGTGCGCTTGTTTGGTATACGCAGCATATTTTGTATTATGCTGCGGCATCCCAAAGCGGAAATGAGTTGAAAAATGAGTTAAAAGCAAATAAAATTAGTGACTAGCGGGCGAATATTGCGTCTGTGAAATGTCTGCAGAGAAACATGGAGTTTGTGCCAATCTGTGAACTCTCGGTCTTCACTTTAGTTTCTTGTTCTCACACCAACACACTCTCACACCAACTCCGCGTTAACTGTTAAACAAATTACTCATACATATATTCCCCGTCTCTTTCTTCCAGGTGTGGTGTAAAGCGCCTTAATCACCAAGATGAGTTACATGCCAGCCCAGAATCGTACCAGTAAGTATTTCCACGAGCGGTGCTTTTACCGTTTACCCCTTGGTATAGAACTCCACTTCCATGAAAGTATGCAAAATGGGATCCATATTGCGGAAGCACTGAGCAAAATCTCGTCAACTTTCTATTCCTGGTTAACCCCATCCGAATTCTGCCCGGAACAGTCTTAGATTTCCAGAAATATATAAATAAATAAGATATAATGTTACGTTTTTAACAGACCTAACATACCATATAAAAGGGATGCATTGTTTCCTAGAATTAATTATCTCCTGTAACGTAATACAATAACAACAACCCCCTCCTTTCCCATGATAATTGAGAGATGCGAAGCTTGTTTTTGACAAATTTCCCAAATGTGACATAAAGTATTTGCTTTTGTCATTTGTTTTTGGTGCTCCCTTTGTTTGCATTCGGAAATATATAGGCTAACTACTCGATTCATCCACCCCAGATGGATTATTTATGTCCGTCCTGTGAGCTGCCCACATTTACATACTTGTTAATGCTTGAGCATACACCATTGGGTTGTGGATGATCTTTTTTCTGTGTGACAAGAAGCAACCACCAGACGTATCCTGTGTCCTTACCCTAACCACCGAAAATAAATGTTCCTGCTCCTTTGGATTTTGCAATTTACAATTTTTATGACGACGCAGCTAAAAGGGAGAAGGAAGGAAGATGCTTCCCTCCCTCTTGCTTCCGCGCTCCTTTCAACCACTTCATTTGCTATGTGCAGGGGCGTACGACAGAAATGAATAAAGGGGGTGGACATTGTAAAAGTAATATTCATATGTGTATCTTAAAATTGTTTAGTTTGAAATATAACTGGGAAGTGTATTTTATTTTTTCAAATTTTTTAAAATATTCGTCTCTATAATTCTGAAAACCCTATTCATGCGCCACTGCTTGGTATCCTTTGAAACTTTATTCCCTTCCACTTCCACTCACGCACACACAGTACTCGTGTACTTGCACGTGGCCATCCAGCCCACTCTCCCGCTTTCCCGGCACGGGACCTTGTCCTCCCTCTCTGTCTTCCAATCTCATTTTCGACTTGGCTGCACATTTTCTTCAGCATTTTCCTCTTTTTTTGTGGTGGTGCTGCTGCTGCTGTGCAGAATTTAATTAGTAAGCGGCAACTTCCACTTAAAGGCTCCGTCCCCCAATCCCATTCCTATTCCCGGTTCCATTCCAGCCGCACTCCGTACTCCTTACTCCTTTCGAGTGTGTGGCCCACTCGAGAAATAAAGCGAAAGAAAAAGCGCTTAATCGATTTGGGAAATGAAACGAAATGGGATTACAGTCATACGTGCTTGAAGCGAACAGAATTATGAATCGATGATTGAACAGACAACAGTTTACTGTGGAGATGTACTACCTTTAATTTCGAGGACTACAAGCTTTAAATAAATATTTTATTTTATTTTCTAAATAATTTCTCAATCAAATTTGCTTGGAGTTCTTAAGTACATCAATACAAATTGAAAAGCGTTCTTTGTTGGAAAAGATTTCTGTGACATCGCCGTAATCACCGATTCCAGTTAATGCAAACTCGTTGCTCGAAAGTTCAATTCATAAAGGTTTCACTGTAGTATTAAAGAATCGCGTGGCCGGATGGAAGGTGGGAGTTTGAAATTGCGAATGCAAATGCATACAAAAGGGGCGTGGCCGCACTGTGTCCACGCATAAGTAAAACAACAAAGGCAAAAAGCTGGGCCTGAAACGGCATAATTAAGACAGAAGTGGCAAACAAAACGCCCCACGAATCCTTTTTGCAGGATCCTCTCATGTGTGAGCATCGTGACCCCCTTCCCCGTGCCCCTCATCCGCTCTAAACTTTGTGGGAATATCCTGCAGCGTTCAATTTGTCACGCTTCAAAGTTTTCCCTTTGCCATTTTTTTTTTGCCCCGTATGCCTGGGATGCTGCCCACTTTGCTGTCAGTCGCTGTCGTTTTCCATTTGGCCATCCTTCAAGAAAAAATGGAAATATGCAAATGGTTTGGAGAGGGTTAAGGAGAGGGGGACATTGAAACCAAACCCAAACCTAAGCCGAAATCCAAATCCGACGCCAGAGATGTAGATGCTGTGTTGCACTCAGTCTGATGGCCATGTTTTCCGTTGTCCTGCGCCATTCTTCCGCTTCAAAAGGCTTACAAAAAATAAATAAATGTCTGTATACATATATTGAAGCTGAAAATACTCCTTTGGTTCTTATTTTGGGAGACGTTTAAATTTGTATGATATAAATGTGGGATATTATTTCAATATTATTAAACTGCAAGCTATGCATTTATCCCAAACAATTTAGTGGTTAGCTTATTAAAATTAGATAAGTTTAGGAGGGAAATGTCCCTTGCCCTGGCTTAGTAATGCTTGAAAAATCGCCTCTCATTGAGCGTAGACATTTTGCAACCCGCTCCTAAACACTTTTTACCCATTTCCTTTTAGTGTCGCATAATAATCAATACAATCCGCCGGATCTGCCACCGATGGTGTCCGCCAAGGAGCAGACTCTCATGTGGCAGCAGAACTCGTATCTGGGCGACTCCGGCATCCACTCGGGTGCCGTGACCCAGGTGCCATCTCTGTCCGGCAAGGAGGATGAGGAAATGGAGGGAGATCCTCTGATGTTCGACTTGGACACCGGTTTCCCTCAGAATTTTACACAAGACCAGGTGGACGACATGAACCAGCAGCTGAGCCAGACCCGCTCCCAACGCGTCCGTGCTGCCATGTTCCCGGAGACCCTGGAGGAGGGCATTGAGATTCCCTCCACCCAGTTCGATCCCCAGCAGCCGACGGCGGTGCAACGTCTATCGGAACCGTCGCAGATGTTGAAGCACGCGGTGGTGAATCTGATCAACTATCAGGACGATGCCGAGCTGGCCACCAGGGCCATTCCAGAGTTAATCAAGCTACTGAACGATGAGGATCAGGTGGTCGTTTCTCAGGCCGCCATGATGGTTCACCAGCTGTCCAAAAAGGAGGCCTCGCGCCACGCTATTATGAACAGCCCCCAGATGGTGGCCGCCTTGGTGCGCGCCATCTCCAACAGCAACGATCTAGAAAGCACCAAGGCAGCGGTGGGAACGCTGCACAACTTGTCTCACCATCGCCAAGGTCTGCTGGCCATTTTCAAGAGTGGTGGAATACCGGCACTCGTCAAGTTGCTCTCCTCACCAGTGGAGAGCGTGCTCTTCTATGCAATAACCA